TCTCAAGCAGATCTCACTGGGCCTTTTGCATTTGTCGTATGCTAACGAAATTTATGTTTACACGGACGGTTCGGTCTCGGGAAGTTCGACAGGTGCTTTGTCATACCATCTCAAACAATCACCGTCAAATTCAAGAAATCACACGCCACGACATCTACGGGATCCGAGCTCACCGCTCTTCCAGTCGCTGTGGAATTTGTTACGCAAGAATCCCCTGGTAGATGGGTCATATTCTGCGACTCCAAGGCCGCCCTTCAATGCGTGCGAACTCTACGACATAGAAACTACCACCAGATGGAGTGTCGTATTAATGAAATTTTTCATCGCGCCACTGATCAAGGACATGACATTGTTTTACAATGGTTGCCGGGCCACTGTGGCATCAGTGGTAACCACCTCGCCGACGACGCTGCCCGATGTGCCCACGATGGAGCGTCCACACTGTTAATACCCTTGTCAAGAGTACACGCAGCTAGAGAACTTCGTCACATCGCGCATAATGCCACGCCTGCGCACTGGAATTCTCCACTTAACTACAATCATTGCCTTAAGAATCTCAAGTCATTACTCCAGAAACAACTGACATCCAAGATTTCTCGACGTGAAGCTCCAATGCTGTGCCGGCTGTGGACTGGGGTAGCGTTTACTAAGTCATTCAGCCATAGCATTGGCATGGCAGATCCATCCATGTGTGAAAGCTACAGAGACTATTGAACATCTCTTGTGCCAATGTGCCCTATTTGATGAAGATCGCTGGACTCTCCAGTGTGCCTTGAATAGACTGGATGTCCGGCAATTCAATGAAACAATTATCTTAGGAGCCTGGTCGCGCAGCACATCAGCACAGAAAGCCACTTGAGCCTTCCTGAGATACTTGACAGCAACTTCATTGAGGGACCGCCTGTGAAACTCGGCATTGTGTGTGTGATATGACATGTTTCTATCCTTGTCTCTGTTTTACTCCCCTCTCCCTCTCCCCATGTGTAGGGTAGCAAACTGGACGCAGAGTCTAGTTAACCTCCCTACGATTCCTACGTTTCTTCTCTCTCTCTTGGCAAATGAGTGTGGCTGTATTTTCAATGATTGATTGTTTGATTGATTGATAGATGTGTGGTTTGATGCCCCAAAAGCACTATAGTATGATGAGAGACACCGTAGTGGAGGGCTCCGGTAGTTTAGACCACCAGCGGTTCTTTAACTGGTGACCAAACATGAGCACATGGGCCTACAGTATTTTGGCCTCCATCGAAAATACAGCCGCCGCAGCCGGTATTTGATCCCACGACATGCAGATCATCAGCCGAGTACCTTATCCACTAGACAACCACGGCGGGGCAGGCAGTAAGTTCAGACCTGTATAGTTCAACTTACAACACTATTTTGTTTATATATTACGTTCTACCTACCCTGCACGGACTTCGTGTTCACCGTATGTAATAAATAAAAAATAGAATTAAAGAATCATAATAACGAACTGTAAAAGCATGTGCTACTTGGCAGGGGAGATATCCCCCTTAGTTCAGAGCAATGCCAACACATACTGCTGCCAATGCCACCCGTAAACGAATATTTTCGGCTTCTGGCCATCAAAGCTTGCGATGTAATGGGCTGCTGACGCGACCATATGAATGCTGAACCACTTGACTCCTGCTCATGTGACTCGGAGGGCAATAAACCACTGTCCCGGTTCACTGAAATTGCTTCATATTCTGACACTCGCCATCTTTTTCCGGCTCTGGCAAAAGGGCTGTGTATGGTGGAACAGCGAACTTTAGGGTCTGTCCTGCTATTAGGGAGTATTTCGACGAGAACACGAATGGGCGGTGCCCACACTGTGGGGTGATTTGTGATATCTTAGACATGATGTGGGCATCTACGAAAAAAACGTGCCCACCCTTCTACTCCTTCTCAGAAACAAGGCAAACTGCCCTTCTCACGCGCCTCTCGCCAGAGTCTCAATGGACTCCGTTGAGACGGGCAAGAGATGGGCCGTTGTCATGCTGGACCCCGGACTAGGGACGTTCACCACGTAGTGGGGTCATGCTTTGGCTTTCAGATTCTTTCTCTTTTAAAGGCGAGTCTTTCTTAGGGACTTTCGACAAAAAAATTTTGGTCTGTCTGTCTGTAACTTTGTTTGTTTGTCTGCCTTTAACAATACCTGAAACAGCACGAAACGACCAAACCCATTCGGACAGCCCACCAATATTGCTCAAGACTTAGCGTTCATAGTTGTGTGATTTTCAAACAAAAGATAATATTGCGTATATCTGAGGCGCCATAAACAACACGTCTACGTTTTCTATGTCTGCATTTATACTAAATGAAGCACACACAAGTAACTCTAAGGACTGTAGCGTTTATCGCGCTGCGCTGACAGTGCAACGCGATGCTCAAAAAGGCAAGTATTTCCAACGCTTTGCTACGAAAATATAGTAATGGCAACTGCTCGTCGCTTTTCGTTCTACACCTTATCACCTCCGAGACTGACGCACATCTTTCTCCGCGGGCGCGCACGCCTTCGTTATCGAGGATAACTGCCAGATGGCGCTCGTGTCTAACGTGCCTCGATGCGCTCGTTCACCTACGCTACACCCTCGAAGCACACTAACGCAGAGCCTACAGAATACCATTCACATTTTTTTTGCGCAGAACATCAAATAAACTCTTTGTTCACTCTCTCCAGACGCAAGATGATCGTGTTTCGACATTTGCAGTGTAACATGCAGTTTCGGGCCAATTTTTTGGCTATAGATGTTTGAATTTCCCTCTTTCTTTGAGGTCCGTGTTTTCTCAGCCTTCAATGATAACCCTCGCAGCACCCAATGGGGCGTGACTCTCCAATACGCCATCGTAAAAAAGCACACGCGAGAGAGGCGATTTTTGTGCTGCTCATCTCTTCACCGCCAACCAACTGGCGAGACAAAAAGAAATAAAGGTGTAGGCTTACTTTATGTTTGTAAACAGCGGCAGACGACGTCGTCATGTTGAGACGCTTGTAGCGTCGTCAATACAAGTGCCTCGGTAGTATGTCGAAGGTGCCTATGTTTACAAACATAGTCGACGAGTGCTCTGCTGATTCCTGTAAAAATAATCGTGTGCGACGGTGCCCGGATGAGCAAAGCATAAAGTTACGCAGCCGTCTCTCAACAGGCCTTCACGTGGAGAAAGATGACTGGCGCGTTTCCTCTCGTTAGAGAAGCATTTCTCGGCTGCGCTCACACGCTTGCACTTTTCGTTCCTTCTTTCCCGAAGCACTATCTCTCTTCCCCGCATAGGGCATACGACGCACGGGGCGACGGTATTGGTTTGCACTTCATGTGGAAGATAACAGCGTTGACGACGACGGCAGAAACGCACCCACAGTGTCATCTCAATGTTATCGCAATGAATGAAAATTGGCAGACCTCAGGTACAGTGGGAATCGATGATATTCGAAACACAAATAAAAATTGTTGATATGTCACTCTAAAATGAGCACAACGCTACAAGGTGGAGGTACATCATGCCGAACACGACTACCATGTCGTAATTATCATGTTTGGATGCGTCGTTTACCTTTGTCATCTATTCATGTCAAGTGATACCAAATTTAGTATATGTGAAAATAGCGAAACAGCCTCGAGCATGCTATGAGCGTGGTATGTTGTGATGTTCTTACATGACAATCGTGTCACGATTATCATGTTTGCACCAGTCATATATTTTGTCATGCATTGTGTGACATAGGTGTGACATCACGTAACACCAAATTTGTTATAGGTGGAGCTGGCGAAATGGCCGAGAGCGCATCATGAAGGGCCCAATATACTCCAATGTAGCGTTGACGCGCACGCAAGCAGGACACAGCGACTCTACGTTAGCAAAACACGAGCACTGTATAGTCTGACGCCGGGCACGACCAGCGGCCTCCAGCGCAGCCCGATGGCAACCGGCGTGAAATGCGTCATGCTGCATTTCGCGTTGATGCATTACCCAGACAACACTGCGTCTCCTTCTTTTCGTGACGGAGGGATGCCGGACGCGCTGAAACGCGCATGCGTCAAAGCAAAGCAGCGTGGCGTGCGCCTGCGAGTATATGGCAGGACCAGCGCCTGGCGTGGCAACGCCGGTGTGACGTGACGAAATGAACGCCGGCGAGCACGCGCACCGCGTCATGTCGAAATGTATTGGCGCCATCACTGTGGCAAGTAGTCATGTTCTCACATGACACACATGTCATGATTATCTTGTTTGCATCAGTCACATAGCATTGTCGTCACGTAAAACCGAATTCGGCATATGTAAAGCTAGCAAAACGGCCACGAACGCATCATCAGTGTGGTATGCAGTCACGTTGTTACATGACACGCATGTCGTGATTATGATGTTTGGATGTGTCATTTACCTATGCCGTTCATTCGCGTCGCGTAATACTGAGTTTGGTATATGCGAAGCTAGCGAAACGGCCACGAGTTCATCTTGAACGTAGCATGTTGTAATGTTGTTACATGTCATGCATCTGATGTTTTTCACGTTTGTATCAGTGTCATACCCTTGTCATCCATTCACGTAATACCGAATTTGGGATAAATGAAGCTAGCAAATGACCACACGCACATAATGAGCGTGGCATGTAGTCATATTGTTACATGACATGCATAGCATGATTTTCATGTTAGGGTCAGTCACTTGTGTTCGCCATGCAATCATGCGATACAATACGAGTTTTGCAACATGCCTTGTGAACGAAAACACCGCAAGAGCTGCACAACCATGAAATGTAAATCACGACATTCATGACATATATCTCATATTTTTCATGTTAATACTAGTCAAATATGTTCTTCATAGAGTCTTGTTATGCCATACTAAGTTTGGTATCGATACCATTATCGAAACGACCTGGAGAGTTAAATGTCGCAGGCGGCTAGATAGATAGATAGATAGATAGATACGCTCAATTTGACCGAAGTTTGCTAAGAAGTAATTTGCAATTGAAGAAGCTTTGTGGCAAGACGCACCTGGATACCATTACGGCAGCGAGTATGGGTGGCCATCCAACCTTGAGCACAGAACGCGTGTTTTCGTGTTTGAAGGCCAAGAAGAACCATATGGGCAGCAGCAGAACGCTCAGCGCCACTACACCTGGTGTCATCAATGGTGAGTCTGAAAGGAACATACAAACAGGTGAAATAGGACGTCTAACCTAACGAGCAATATTTCAAGACACAGAGACAAGAAGATAACTTGGGAAATAATATAAAACGGAACAATCCAAATAAAACAAAAGCAGCTTTGTATCAGGTGTCCCTTAACTGCGCTTCGAAATAAAAAAAATAGTTAACCTCAATAGAGAACTTGTTGTAACAGAGAATAATGCCATGGAATTTATAGGGAATTGTATAGAACAATTTTAATGTAAATGTGAAGAAAGAAAAGTGGTTGAAAAGATAATTTGCCTTCAGCAGCAAGAGAACCCGCAACCTTCAAATAATGCAATCGATACTCTACTACCTAACTACCACAGCGGCTATTTCCCAGCCACTTTATTGAGTTTAAATGTGAATATAAACGTGGCAGTGTCAGTCAGCGCCACCTGTACCCATGAAAGCGAGTGTGGCACACTCATTATGTGCCTGTTTGGCGTCACGTAGCACGTAAACTTATTACGAGCTGGCAGCCGACCAAAAGTCTGTCGTGTACAACGTAACGGCACCAATGCGAGACCGTCATTAATAAATAAGGGAAATAGGTGTATACTTAAGAGCTAGTTTTTCCTTGTTTTGACAGAATAAGGAGATCTAACAGACAATACCAAGGAATGTATGTGGAAAGCTGTTAGACGATTTGTAATGTAACTGTGAAGAAAGAAAAGTCGATTAAAAGATAACTTCCCGTGACCAGGAACCGATCTCTCTCTCTCTCTCTCTCTCTCTCTCTCTATATATATATATATATATATATATATATATTGCAGAAGTTTTTCCAATAAGCCAAACGTACTTGAGAAGAGAAGAAACACAACTTAGCGGTTGTCCTAATTTTCTTACCAACGATTTTAACCGGTGGACCAGTCTTCGTCACGGTTTGTGAACAAGTGCGACGCTACGCGAACATGTCGCATCGTAAGGTGGTGCAAGAGGGAAACGGGAGAGAGCGACAAATTCGTGGTGTTTTACAGTGGTGACTTACGCTGCGCCGAACAGTTTCTTTTTTGTCTCATTCGCTGGAGCAAAGCAAAAAGAACCAAAAAAGGAAAAAGAAAAGAAAATAGTGAAAAGGAAACAGGGGGTAGGAAGAGAAAGGAAGAGGGTGATAGGGCGGCTTCCGCGACGCGTCTTTGAAGGTCACGGAGGGACATTGTGGGTGAGCCTGGATGGCAGGCAATCAATTGCATGTAGCAAGACGAGGGACACTCGCAGAGAGAGTGCCTGATTCGGCCCCTTCTGTGGTCAGTTAGAGAAAGGAAGGGAGAACCACGTGTTTCGTTTTCGTTAAAACTATACTGACATATTCCATGTGTGGGAGGAGGGGGGGGCAGATTTCGGGGCAAAGATGCTGAAAGCACAAAAGGCGGTTTGGAAAGTAAAGCCGACATCTAGGGCTGGAAGGCACACGTTGTCAATATGACTGCATGCGTGTCTACAACCCTTTTGCACCACTCCCCGAAGCACCTGCGGTTGAAATCGGCTAATGCTGGTTGGGCTCTCCCACTTACAGATAATAAGGCAAACATAAGTTAAACAGAATGGCAAAGAAAATATAAAGAAAGGTGAGCAGTGAAAATGAAACAAATAATAACAAACATAATAGAATGGGTGATAGTGTGCGAGAGATATGTGCACAAATCCAGAAACTCAGCGAAATGCAGACAGACAAGAAGAAACACAAAAATGTAATGAATGTAATAAAAATAATAATGAAATATTAAAGTAATAAAATTACACAACAAAGGTATATATACGAATAGCACATTGAAAATGTTTTTCTGTTGGTCCATTACCTCAATAACTATCAGGTGCTTTTTTTAACACAAGGTATTCTTTATTTATTTATCGTGAATACATTGAAAGGCTGAGGACAAAAGCTGCATACAAGCAGCTTGACAGGCCCGTCAGCCCAAATATGACAGGCCCGTCAGCTCGGTATGCTTCTGTTCAGCATATCGAGGAATAATAATATTATTACTATTTTTAAAAATAACAGTTACAGTTAAAAATGAAATTTTTTTTAAAATTTAAAAGTTATTAAAAAGTTTTAAAATATTAAAAAAATTAAATAAATTAAATCTACGCCAGACTTGATTATTGTCCCATCTCACCACTGCACGACCTAAGGAACGATAGGTTGCTGATGTTTTCGTTGATAACGTGTGTTAGTGTTCGCAATTTTTGGACGAAGTATGACTCCCTTTCTTCCCGTTCACGAGTCCCGCGAAGCCTGACTGGAAGAGGGTGATTCGTATTGTCACGGGGTCGTGACGGGGATGAATGGAGCACACTGCGAGTCGTATAATAAATTGTTTATTTTGGCGAACCTGTCCCCAGTAAACGGAAAGTCGGACTGCAGTAGCAGTCTTGGACTGATAGCGGTGAACGAAGCGTCAGCCGTCGATCAACAACTGAAGAGCGGCGAAGTGCGTCGGTATTTGTACTCTTGCAATCGAATGTTCTAGCGGTATCGCTGGCGGTGGCGTAGGTTCCAGAATAATCTGTACAGTTCGCAGAGTGGGCGTGATCTTATCGAAATGATTTACTAAAGTCCGGAAGCTTATCGAAAACCGCACGCGCGTTTTGCGCTGAGAATTGTGTAGTGTTTTGTGGTGATAACAAAACTTGGGAAATGAAAATGAATGGTGATGATGATGATGCTACAGTGGCATTGCCCCCTTCTGAAAAAGGCATCGTCCCGATGCTTTAACTAAAGATGAAGGTACAACAATAATGCAAGAAAGTACAATAAAAAATTGCGATACAATACTAATACAAAAACAGTGTTTCAGTTTGTTAACGCCCATGAAACGGCTTGAGGCGCGCGAAATGGACGATTTCAGGTCGTGATTGGCGTCGTTGAGAGTTCGTGATGCCGTCGGGAACCACCTCGTAATCAAGTGGGCCCTGACCTCTAACCACCCTGTACGGTTCGAAATACCGTCGCAGAAGCTTTTCACTTAGTCCACGTCGGCGTATCGGCGTCCACACCCAAACACGTTCATAGGGCTGGTATTCCACAAAGCGTCGTCAAAGATTGTGACGGCGGTAATCGGTCGTCTGTTGATTCTTGATACGCAGACGTATCAAGAATCCCGGCAACGCGACTTGCCGGGCATCGTCGGCGCGTTGAAGGTATTCACTGACATCGAGACTTTCTTCGTTGGTGACGTTGGGTAACATGGCATTGAGCGTCGTTGCCGGGATCCTTCCATAGACCAATTTGTATGGAGATATCTGCGTCGTCTCCTGCACAGCCGTGTTGTATGCGAAGGTCACGTACAGAAGAATGGCGTCCCACGTCTTGTGTTCGACATCGACGTACATTGCCAGCATGTCGGCGATCGTCTTGTTTAGCCGCTCGGTGAGGTCGTAGTTCTGTGGGTGGTACGCTGTCGTCCGGTGGTGGTTTGTCTGGCTGTATGCCAAGATCGCTTGAGTTAGGTCAGCAGTAAATGCCGTTCCTCTGTCGGTAATAAGGACCTTCGGGGCGCCGTGACGTAGGACGATATTTTCGACGAAAAACTTAGCTACCCCGGATGCACTGCCTTTTGGAAGGGCTTTTGTCTCGGCGTAGCGGGTGAGGTGGCTACCAAAATCCATTTGTTTCCGAAAGCCGACATCGGGAACGGACGCAGCAGGTCCATACCAATCTGCTTAAAAGGCCGGTGAGGTGGTTCAATTGGCTGCAGAAGTCCCGCCAGCCTTGTCAGTGGTCTCTTGCGTCGTTGGCAGTCCTGGCATGTCCTCACATAACGAGTGACGTCGGTGGTAAGACGTGGCCAATAGTACCTTTCTTGTATCCTCACGAGCGTGCGAGAAACACCGAGGTGCCCTGCTTTCGGATCGTCGTGCAGGGTCTGCAAAAGTTCTGGTCGCAGAGCTGAAGGCACCACAAGGAGGTACTTGGATTGAAGCGGTGAAAAGTTTTTTTCTTTTGGAGAAGACCGTTTCGCAGGAAGAACGATGCAAGTGCGCGCTTGAATACCTTCGGGACTTCGGCGGTCCTGCCTTCGAGGTATTCTATTAGGACTTTAAGTTCCGGGTCGACCCGCTGTCATTCAGCGAAGTCGTCGGTGGTTATCGTTCCCAAGAAGTAGTCGTCATCCGGGTCGTCGGGTGGTGGTTGGTCGACAGGCGCATGAGAGAGACAGTCGACAGGCGCATGAGAGAGACAGTCGACGTCGGAGTGTTTCTTGCCGGACTTGAACGCGACGGGAATGTCATATTCTTGAAGTCTCAGGCTCCATCGTGCGAGGCGACCTGAAGTGTCCTTCAAGGTGGCAAGCCAACACAAGGCGTGGTGGTCGCTCACAATTTCGAAGGGCCTGCCGTACAGGTAGGGGCGAAATTTCGACGTAGCCCAGATGATGGCGAGGCACTCCTTTTCTGTTGTGGAATAATTGGCTTCTGCTTTGGATAGCGATCGGCTGGCGTAACTAATAACCCTTTCAAGTTCATCAGCCCTCTACACAAGATTGGCGCCAAGACCTAGGCTGCTTGCGTCAGTGCGTATTTTTGTCTCGGTGAATTCGTCAAAATGAGCAAGTAGCGGAGGCGTCTGAAAGCGATGTTTAAGCTCCTGGAAAGCGTGTTTCTGCGGCGTTTCCCACTTGAACTCCAAGTCGGCAATTGGTAAGGTTAGTGAGTGGATCGGCGATGCGGGCGAAGTTTTTCACGAACCGCCTATAATGGGCGCACAGGCCCAGAAATCGGCGCACCGCCTTCTTGTCTTTGGGCGGTGGGAAGTCGGCGATGGCGGTTGTTTTCCGTGGATCGTGATGAACTTCAGAATTGGTAATCACGTGCCCCAGAAACAGGAGCTCTTCGTACGCAAATCTCCACTTTTTTGGCTTCAGTTTGAGTCCGGACGTCTTGATGGCTTGAAGTACAGTTTCAAGGCGCCGATGATGCTCGTCAGAACTTGAGAAAAGCACGACAACGTCGTCCAAGTAC